AGAGATCTCTGCTGTCTGGGTGCTTATTTCACAGTCACCCCTGGGTGTAACGGAGAGATCTCTGCTTGCTGGCTGCTTATCTCACAGTTCCCTCCTGTTCCGATGCTGAGCTATCAAATCTCTCAGGTTGCACTGTGCACTCCCCACAGGATGTAGAGAAAGTTTGTGTCCATTCATAGAATGTGATGGTGGGGCACAGAGCACAGAGCTGAGTGAGACCCCATCCACCTCAAGATGACCCAGCCCAGGCCAGGCTCTGGGTCCAGCCAGTGAATGTGGGTGAGCGTGGAGGCCACGGCTGGGCAGATGGCGCTCGGGGATGGCTCTCAGCTCACCTCCCTGTCCACGCAGCCACAAACACTTACCAAGCACCTACTAAGGTGCTGGCGATTGAGGACACGTGGTCCCTGTCCTCCAAGGCTGTGACAGCGGCACACAGACGTGTTAGGGGCCCCGCGGGGAGGGTGTGCCTCAGGGGCTACAGGCAGGAAGGGTACGTGCCTCAGACCCAACCCAGAGGCAGCAGATCACTAAGTCAGGTTGCTGCCCTCGAGGTTCCTGGAGGACGATGGAGGAATGGAGGTGCCCAGCAGGCATTGAGGGCCTTCAGGTGGACGCCTAGGGAGGGACCAGGCCGGAGACACAGCGTGGAAGTCACCAGTAAGTGGGTGGCGGTTTTCAACCTTGACAAGGCAGCCCGGGAACATCCATGGATGTGGTGGGTTCTGGTGCGCAGGTGGGCCAGAGAGGGGAGAGGAGCAGGAGAGAAGGTCAGAACAACGTGCAGGGCCCGGAGGGCGGTGTCACGCAGTGCAGAAAGGAGCCCTCTCAGATGGGGGTATCCCACCAGTTCCAGGCGGCCAAAGGGTGGAGCCACAGCAGGATGTCGTCGGTGGCCTTCGGTCGTGTGGTCTTGTGTGGGCGTGAGACCTGAACGCGAGGTGAACAAGCAGGGATGGAAGCCGTGTGCTGGGACGGCGCACCCCTAAAGGGAGGCCCCGGGTGGGTGTTTGCTCGTGGGGTGGAGATCCGATGGGGGAAGGAAGCTGAAGTTGTAGGGGGAAGATGGTGGAGTGAGGCCCTTCGGCGTGGCCTAGTGAGAGTGAGCTCCGGCTCAGACGCAGGGCTGGCTCTGGGCAGGAGGGCGGCGGGGGGGACAGGGAGATGACCGCAGAGGCAGCCGTGCGTTAGGGCCACAGGCATGGGGTGATGAAGTTCAACCTGAAGGCGTCTGTCGTGTTTAGAGCGGGGAGAATGGGGCTTGGCCACAGGCCTCCTGGAGAATCAAAAGTTTAGCGCTCGCTGCCGAGAAATCAGAGTGGCGCCCCGAGACCCCGGGGCGGGGTGTGGGCCTGGGGGATGTAGGGCCATGGCTTTGCCATGCCAGGTGTTGGGTGTGGTGATGGGATTCCTCAGGAAGCAGGATCTGCCGCTGCCCAGATCCCAGCGGCCCTCTCTGACCCCACTTTGACGCGCCAAGCGAGTATCTGGGCGAGGAAGCAGCGAGGGATGTGTGAGCCGCGTCCAGATGGCACTGAGGTCAGGGAGGCCACCACGGGCCGTGTCAGGACTCTGGGTCTGTTCGAGGCGGGGGGAGGTCTCTGGAAGGTTTTGTGCAGGAGGGTGTCATGGCACAGCTGTCATCTTAAAAGGGTCATGGTGGCTCTTCTGTGGAGGACAGGCCCAGGGGCAGTCCGTCCAGGTGAGAGAGCACAGGCTGCAGTGGGGAAGGGAGTGGGAGGTTCTGGATAAAATCTGCAGGGAGAGCGGGCGGGATTTGGGATTGACTGTGGGGTGTGAGAGAAAGGGAGAGCAGGAGAGCCCCCGTGTGGGCCTGAGCACCGGCAGGTGAGGCGCCAGGCCGGTGGCCACCAGGATGGCTGGCAGGCTCACACCTCAGCCGTGGGTTTGTGCCCCAGGCCGACCTGTCCTACCCGGCCCTGGGGAGGGCTAACCTGGGCCTCACGGCCGGGGTCTGACCTGCAGCGGGCAATGCCAGCCACCTTTCTTTCTCTTTGTTTTTCTTACGAGAGGGACTTGCTCTCCAGCTGAGGTTGGATCCAGCATCAGAGGCCCCTGGGAATTCACTGAGTGCAGATCCAGGCCTTGGGGCCTTGGGCTGAGGCCACGACCCCACTTTCAGCTATTCAGACAAGCTGCAGGGACACAGTGCCACCGAAGGCCACGGGACCGTGAGCGGGGCTGTCATCGTGTCCCTGCTCTTCGGCCTCAGCGTCTCCTGGGACGCTCCTCTGACTCAGACACTCCACGGGCCCCCAGGTCTGGGGTGACCGGCCCTCCAGCGATTCTTGTGTGGCTGGAGTTTGGGACCCCCTGGCAGAGGCTCCAGGCCGCATGGGAACGGCCTTCCGGGAGTGGGGGTGCTGCAGCGGGCGGAGGGGAGGTCCTTCAGGGAACTGCTCATGAGAGTGCACCATGCCGCTCACCAACTCTCCTCTCACCCTGCGCCGGGGCGGCAGCTCCTACTTCACACGCAGAGAGAGCAGCCATGCGCCGGCGTTCCTTCTTCCCGGGAAGCAGGGTGGCCTGACGTGCAGCCCCTGGTCCATGCTGTTTGTCAGTCTTGCCACCAGGGCCTCACAGAGACTGAAAGGTGCATTTATATTCCCGAGCAAGCTCCCAGTCGGTTATTTTCTGGTCCCAGAGTTTTGTTAGAGCCTGGGGACTGGTGTGACCCAGCGTTCCCAAGGACGCCTGCCGTAATAGGGTCCGGAGACGTGCCTCCGTCTCCGTGACCCCGAGGGGGTCCCTGCCCCCTCGGCCGCTGGTCCCCACGAGAGACGGGGCTCCCCAGCTCCCTGCCCTTCGGGGCTCCCTTCTGCCAGTCCCGCCGAGGCCAGCTTGGCTGTTTGAGGGGGGCCCAGGGTCGACCTTCAGCCAAGATACTTGGGCGACTCCTTGCTGCCATGTCCACTTCAGGCCGTGGGCTGGGCCACCCTCTTCTGTGTCTCAGGTGCGTTTTGCCTAGTTATCTGGAAATCAACTCAGTTTCTTCAAACTTTCTTTTTTCAGTGATGGGTCTCCCTGGATTTCAGCATCTGGAAATAATCTGGCGTCTAGACTGTCCTTTCGCTGTAGACCTGTCATCAGCACATTTCCGAGTGCTTTGTGTGAGCACAGTACTAAACGCGGCCTGTGCGTTAGGTCGTTGACCCTCAGGAGTGCAGTGAGGAAGCCACTCTGTTATCCCCGTTTTACAAATGGGGAAACTGAGGCATAGGGAGTTTAGGTAACTTGCTGAAGGTCACGCACCTTGTAAGCAGAGCTGATAACCGAGTGTGTTCATGTAACTGTGTCTAAGGGCACACGCGCTGGGGTGTAAGCTCGTTTATCTTTGCCTTAGATGATTACATGTACATGTCTATATGGCTTTGTTTTTATTTGACAAGTATCTTAGTTCCCAGACTGCCATAACAAAGGTCCACAGACGGGGTGGCTCACACAGCAGGAACTGACTGTCTCAGTCCTGGAGGCAGAAGTCCAGGATGGAGGTGTCGGCAGGCTGGTTCCTCCTGGAGGCTCTGAGGGAGGATCTGCTCCAGGCTCTCCCCAGCTTCTGGTGTGGCTGGCGATCCCTGGCTTGTAGACGCCTCACCCCATCTCTGCCTCCATCTTCCCATGGCGTTCCCCTGTGTCTGTGTCCAAATGTCACCTTTTTTGGGAGGGGGATTCGGTGAGGAAGATTGGCCCTGAGCTAACATCTGTTGCCAATCTTCCTCTATTTAGTTTGTAGGACGCCACCACAGCATGGCTTGATGAGCTGTGCTTATGTCCACGCCTGGGATCCAAACACCTAAACCCCGGTCCACCACAGCAGAGCACGTGAACTTAACCACTGTGCCACCAGGCCGGCCCCCAAATGTCATCTTTTTATAAGGACACCAGTCTTATTGGGTTAGGGGCCACACTGATGACCTCATCTTAACTTGACCACCTCTGTAAAGACCTTATCTCAAACACAGTCACATTCTGAGGCCCTGGGGGTTTGGGGGGACACAGTTCAGCCTGTGACAAATGTAATAAGCTTTTGACTTTTAAGTTTATAAGCAGCTAACATAGTTGTACCAAGCAGTGTGACTTTTTTCCTTTTCTTTTAAGTCCACTGTCTGTAGCTGTTTCTATCTTAGAATGACGTTGATGCTGAGAACGCTGGACCAGTGAGCTGGGTCTCCCCGTCTGGAGCGTGCCGTCCGCTGCAGGCGTGGGACCCCAAGCTCGGCAGCCGCGGCCACCCGCCAACGATGCCGCTGCCCTTCTGTTCTCTCGCAGGCATCCTTCCCGGCAAACCTCCAGCACGTCCTTGTTCTGCGCCCAACAGGATTTTTCCAAAGGACTCTCTCTGACCTAGCTTTCAGATTCAACAGAGATGACTTTAAGATGAAGGTACCGGTAAGTACACCCTGCTTTTGCCCTGTAGACAGAACTGAACTTAATTGCATTCTTGGCCCATCTGCAATAATCGAAGCTCTCAAGGTGCCAACCTCAGAGCTGTGGGCGGAAATACAGCCCCGAAGCCTTGGTCGAAAACTGTGCTTCCTCTTACGCCGCGGGAGCCGTGTGAGCCTTCCTCCCCCCGGCGCTGACATCCACACTGTGCAGAGCACGGCCTTTGCAGGTGGCCCACTGTAAAAGTGCAGGTGTTCCGTCAGATCCACGAGCCTAGAACATTCTTATAGCGGGTCAGGCTGAAGAACAAGAGCCCAACGGGCTGAGAGCCATGCCAGCCTCCTAGTGAGGAACGCCTGGCTCTGCCAGCACCCGGGGATGATGGAGGGCCAGAGAAGTGGGTTGCAATCATCCCCCAGGCCTGCAGAGGGAACCCTGAGCTGCCAGCTGGGGTGGGTGGGCCCTGGCCAGACAGGGCCATCCCTGCCTCATCTCCTCACTTGAGCGGGCACAGGGCAGCTTCTGGAGAGGGGTGCTCCCTGGCATCGGCCAGTCATCCTTTAAAAAACAGTGGCTGCGTAGAGCCCCTTAAAACCCGTCACCCAGGAAGCCCGTTTCCCCTGAAGCCTGGTTGCCAGCCCACACCACGCCAGTTACTCTGAGCAGGTTCAGGCAGGGGGCTGCCAGGCAGTGTGCCCCGTGATGTGTTTGTTCCCCATGAATTCACTTGCTAAGAGGCAGGAAGCTTTGGGGCTGGCCGCAGGCACCTCGTCACCTCTCCAACAATACCAATCCGATTGCACTTTGAAACCTAAGAACCCCAGGTGGGGTCACGGTCCGTGAGGTTGGTACCTGATCTTCGGTATACAGGACAGCAGGCACTCTCCCGGTCCGTGGCCGGGTGTGAGGAGCCGCTGAGCCTCTGGGGACAAGTCACGCTCGGCGGCCCTAAACTGCAGGCTTCAGGGTCTTGGGGAAAACTATGTGCCCACCGTGTTTGTAGCATCAGAGAAGCCTGAGTTTCTAACAGTCTGTTTCTTGGAGATGATTTATGATAAAACCGTGGAGACCAGTCACCCTCGTCCGGCTGGAGGTCAGTGTGTGAGGCGTCTGCCCCCGCCCAGCCCCCGTTCTCAGGACAGCCAGGACATGTCACATCCCCTGTGAGAGTGACGTCGGTGTGTCTAGTCTCTTCCTTGTATTTGGCAAGTAAACGTCATTGATAACAGGTCTCTTCACGTGGCTGTGTCACAGGAAACAAGACTGAGGTCCCCACCCTGAGCGCCGAGTCTGCCTGCAGGTGGCACCGTTGGGCCCGATTAGTGAGTTCTCAAGAGCAAGGTTCCCGGAAATCGTGGCCAGTCTCTTCAGCTCGCTGACCCGCTTTAGGTTGCTCTTTAGAATTTCAGACAGCAGCATCTGAAGAATGCTGTTGTTGAAACGTGTCCACGTCAGCATTTGGCGCCGTGTGCTGACCTCGCTACTGGATAGAAAGAACCCCCGGGGGCCCCTGCTTCAGCTGATGTGGTGTTTAACAACACACGAGGCGGCATTGAATAACATTTGGGATCAACCTCTCCAGACCTAGCTTGTAACATCTGTCTGAGGCTTACAAAGCAAAGGCTGTATTTTTACCCAAAACTCCTGGACAGAATGACCTCAGAAAGGACAAGAGAAATACAGAAAAATAAGAACTGGTCCTGCGAGGAAGAGCTCGCTTGGTCACGGCCACCGCGCATCCACCATGACGGCAGCTGTGCAGTGGAGTGCGCTGTGCTGAGCCCGACTAGCGCCTGCAGGACCTCGCAGTGTTTCAGCAGGAGTAGGGACGAAACCATCTTCCTGGAGTCAGAGCACCGTTCGACGACCATGCCGAGCGCCCCTGGCCGAGGAGCCTTTGCCTATCAGATGCCTGCTCTCTGCCCAGGGTTTGCACACCTTCGATGACTATCGTCCGGTGAGATCAGTCATCATGCACCCATTTCACAAATGGGAAAGCTGAGCCCTAGAGACAATAGCGACTTGCTTAAAGTCAACCAGCCCGTAAGTGGTGGAGCTGGAGTTTAAACCCAGGTCCAAAGCCAGACGCTTTCCGTCCACATTGCCACCCTGAGCCTCCAGCAGGAGACCGTTTCCTCCCTCCGTGCGCCTGGCCGTCTGTTTACGGGGCGGTTTTCTTTCTCCTCTAGGTCACAATGCTGAGCTCAGTACCAGAATTACACGATTACATCGACAAGTCCCAGCTGACCGAGGACCTGGGCGGGACCCTGGACTACTGCCACACCAAGTGGTTGTGTCACCGCACAGTGAGTCCTGTTGGCACTCCCCGGCGCTTGCTGTAGGCTGTGGTTCTCGATAATCCCTAGTTAATCCAACAGAATTGCTTTTGCCTTACGATGCTGCCTTTTCCAAAGACGTGTTCCCATTAACCCAAGTTTTTCCCAAGAATGAGCAGTTGGTCTCAGTGGACCTCAGTCATCTAAAGAAATAACATGAGTAATAAGTTCGGGAGTGGCTTTCTCTGGGCTCAGAGACAGGAAGAAAGAAAGAAAACCCCGTGTTGTTGTGTTGTGGCACTCACACTTCTCCTGCGGGGAGAGAGGGCCCTTGAGCGGAGGATGACTCTGGGTGCTGAGAGCACGTGTAGGGAGTGCCTGGTATGTTTCTGAGGGAGTCATGAGGCTAAGGAACCAGTGGGAAGGTTTTCAGTCTACGCAGAGCAGGCTGGCTGTGGCCCTGCCCTCCGTGGCCCTGTCCTCTCTGGAGACGCCCGTCTGCTCTGTTGTGGACATCTTTCTGGGCAGCAGGAGGGAGCCGTGCATGCAAAGCGTTGTGATGGTGTTTTCCTCTTCCCAAGGCGATCGAAAGTTTCGCCGTCATGGTTAAGCAGACCGCTCAGATGCTACAGTCCTTCGGGACCGAGCTGGCTGAAACGGAACTGCCCAACGATGTGCAGTCGACAAGCTCAGTGCTCAGCACACACATGGAGAAGAAGGACAAAGCGAAGGTATGTGCGGCTTCTGCGGGGGTCTTCCACCCGCGAGCAAGATGGTGGAGGAGGAGAGCCGATGTCGGCATCAGGTAAGACAGAGTCGAAGAGGTTTCCGAGCTGCCTTTGGTGCTAAGCAGCTGGGTGACCTCCAGATGAGAACTGGACAGGGCTCCCCTGTAAGAGGGGTGCGAACAAACGCTGTAAAACACGGGCGGCGGGACCGTGGTTGGTCACCCGTGGGTCTGAATGAAGCCAGGCTTCGGGCAGCTTCTCTGAACGAGCTCTCAAGCTGTGCGTACTGCAAGGCCCTCTTTCTGCTGCTTATGGGTTCAACCAAGACAGAGACCCCCCGTTGTCCCAGAGGCAGCAGGCGGGGAAGTGCGGGGCTGACTCGGAGGGGTTGAAATTCATAGTCGCTGTGCTGGCGACTTTACCATCGCCTCCTGGATAAATATGTCCTGAGGGAGATGTGCTCCCTGAGTCCATTGCCCACCCACCTCCCCCGCCCCTGACCTGCACGTTGTGGCTTTGAGTCAGTGGTTGCCATGACCCCCCCCACCCAGAAAACCCTCGCTCCCTTTCTCTCCTGGCAGTGAGGACGGCTGCAGTAACAGGCACGTCCAGTCTGGTTTCCCATTACTGTCTTATCTTATCCCCCAGCCCCGAGTGACCCGTCACCCTGGCTCTGCCCCGGTCGCAGCGGGAGGAGTCCCCCACACCTGCATTCCTTCCCCAGGTCCAGGTGAAATGCAGGAGCGAGCGGTCAACACAGAGGATCTAGCAGGACTTCACCAGGGCTGGTCATGTGTCCACCCTGCTCGTCTTCGCCTCCCACTGCCCTCGCAGGGGGAGCACCACAGAGCCCACTGCTCTCTCTGACCTGGACCGTGTCCCGGTGTGACGTGTTGTGCTCTTCCCACAGGAGGACATGCGGTTGGCACTGGACGAGGGGCAGAGCATCCTGGAGAGCATCAGGGAGCCTTTGGCCAAGAGCACGGAGCAGAGCCTGAACCAGGACCAGCTGGACAATCAGACCACCGTGCAGAGGTGAGGGCCTTGGCTGCGGGCGGCTCAGGCACACCGCCTCCGTGGATAGAGAGGCCACGCACAGGCTGAGGACAGAGCGACAGACACAGAGCGGGCCGCCCAGCCCACACATGGCCTCCCTGAGCCTCGGGCGCCTCATCCTGATGGGGAGCAAGGGGGCTCAGGGTCCTTGTCACTGAAATGCTTTTCTTCCAAATCCAAAGAAAGCACGTTTTCTGGGGAGGAGGGTTTCTTAGCACAGACGCTCTTCTTCACAAGCGTGGAGGAGACATGTGAGGGAGAACAGTGAGGGGGAGCGTGGGGCTTGCCCAGCTGCTGCACTCTGTCACTTTCCTATCCTGTCCCACCCTGGGTCACGACCCCACTTTTGCTGGAGGGGAGCAGCCTGAGACCCCTCGGCTCCAGCCCATGGTTTAGAAGCCCATCTTCTCTCTCTCACTGTAAAGGGGATAATTTGCCCTTTTCTCCCGTGGTTTTCGGCTGCATAACTGAACACAGGGTGACGTGCCCTCAGGGTTAACTACCCTCAGCTAACGTCGGGTGGCCCCAGAGTGTCCACAGCTCCACACATTCCTCCTGTTCCACGCTCTCGGCCCCACAGGCCAGCTCCTTGTGCAGGGACAGGTCGGGGCAGGTGTGGAGCGGCTGGACGGCCTGCCTGCCGGCGACACCCACTCCACCACGGGCCGAACCAGGCCTGGACCCAGGCTGATTCTTACACCATGTCCCCCAACTCGGCGCGGTTCACACGAGGAGCAGGCATTCTGTGCTGGGGAGTCAGGGAGGCCCCGGGGCAACAAGGGGCTCCCGCGTGGATGTGACGTCATGAACAGAGGAGGTTGGAGCACACCGTCCCCCACCACCCCCGCCGCTGCCCACAAGACTCCATTTCCTCATCTGTGCAGAGGGGCTCACCCAGCACACCTCGGGATGGGTGCGGGATCAAACAGGGTAACATGTCGGCGTCCAGCACGGAGTCTGGTGCGTGGGGGTTCTCAGACCTGGGGACGGTGACAGCAAGTGGTGGCAGCTTTTCACCACACGTGCATTGTGGCAGCTTACTGCTTCCTTCACCCCTGAACCAAAGTTAGGACTCATAAGCCCAACCTTTACCATCTCCACCTTTTAGAAATTAAGGAGCTCAGCTCAGCCGGCTACCGAGCGGCTCCCGAAGGGAGGGAGTGTTAGTGTGTCCCAGTGTGATGAGGCGTGAGGGGCAGGGGCCTGGGAGGGAAGCAGACCCCTTTGCCTCTGCCATCCCTCTCCTTCTCACGTAACGGGCCCTAAAGAAACGGCCCCCTTCGAACCCTGTGATTCATTGCCGGGACAGGAGGAGGGGGTCTCGGCAGGGCTGTGTGGAGACCGAGCCTCCCTCCCCGCTTGGCACTGCAGGAACAACTCCTCACAGGCCACGCATGTCACCCTGCACACAGCACACACCCCCTTCCCTAGGCTCCTGGCCCAGCTGAACGAGACCGAGGCTGCCTTCGATGAGTTTTGGGCAAAGCATCAGCAAAAGCTCGAGCAGTGTCTGCAGCTCCGGCATTTCGAGCAGGACTTCCGAGAGGTGAGTGGCCCAGAGCGTGTAGGTGGGCGCCTGGCAGCTGCAGGAAGCCTGTGGGTGGCCCGGCACGGCCCGATGCTGGGAGCTGAGTCGCCTAGCTGACTGTGGCTCAGTGCAGAGTAGTCTTCATAAGCCGCAAGAAGCCGCAAGGTCACTTAGACTAAACCTTGAAATATGTGATTTGATGAGTAAATTGTTATATACAAAAGGTTATCTGAAATCTGCCTATTGGTGAGCACTGCCTCCTGCACCATCTGTCAGTCAGTCAGGGAGCCTTTGTTCTCCCGTTAGAGGCATTCGTATATTCTTTCTGCAACATGCATTTATCATGTGCCTACTGTGTGCTCGGCACATACAAAAATAAAACATGCAGTCTCGCCTTGGATTCAGTATGACAAGGCTATAGGAGTGATGCACCGTCATTGTGTTAAATCGTTAGAAATGGCCACTCGTCAGAAGCTGGCTGATCATTTATTTACACAGAATACACACTGAGACTTCCCTATGTTCCAGCCCTGGTGCTAGGCAGGTAGACCCGCAGAGCAAATGTTTCCTGTCCTCAGGAGAGCTCTGGTCAGCATGGAGGACTCACAAATACACAGGAGTAAGTGGCCACATTGAGTTCAGTGATGCAGCTCTTGGGACGCAGTGTGTAGGTGCCAGGGGAGCCAGGGGAGCAGGAGCCACGACCGGCTCTGTGGAGAGCATCCTCCAGTTCTAGTCCTCTGCAGAGAGTCCCGAAAGACCACCTTTTGGAAAACGGGATTTAGTCGAGCAGGATTCACTGAGCGCTGTTAAGGTCGAGGCACCTGCTCCAGCTCTGGGGAGCAGGGAGAAAAAGTCTCCCTGATGGGGGACAGGAGAGGCAACACCAGCCAGGCAGTGTGGACCGCACGCCATGGGAGCATGAGGCGAAGAGGGTCGTTCATTACTTATTTCTGTGGGGACTGAGGAAGGCTCTTCAGACAATCAGACTTTTTATTTGGGGATAATTGTAGATTCACTTGCAGTTATAAGAAATAATCCAGGGAGCTCCCGTGTACTGCTCACTTGGTTTCCCCCAGTGATGACGTCTTCCCAAACTGTAGCTCAGGATTGCAGCCAGGACACCGACCCTACACAGTGAACACACAGAACATTCCCTCACCACGCGGACCCCGATTCCCTTATACAGATACACCCACCTCCATCCCCCCTCCCCCACTGAACCCCTGGCCACCACTAATCTGTTCTCTGTTTCCATAATTTTGCCATTTCAAGATTGTTCTGTAAATGCAATCACACAGAATGTGACTTTTGGGATTGGCTCTTTTCACCAAGTGTAAATCTCTGGACATTCACCCAGGTTGTTGTGTGTGCTGACCATTTGTCCTCGTTACTGCCGAGTTGTTAGTGTCCACGGTGTGGACATTCGCCAGTTGAAGGCCATCTGGGCTGTTTCACGTGTTTGCTATTACGAATAAAGCTGCTGTAAACACTCGCACACAGATTCCTGTGTGAACGTAAGTCGTCGTTTCCCTGAGGTAGACACTCGGGATGCGATTGCTGGGTCATGTGGTACCTGCGTGTTTAGCTTTCTAAGAAAGTGCCAGACTGTTTCCAGATGGCTGTACCACTTTGCATCCCACCAGCAGCGTGTGAGTGGTCCCCTTTCTCGGCACCCTCACCAGCATTTGGTGTGGTGTTATTTTTACCTTATACACATGTTCTGATAGGTGTGCGGTGGTATCTCATTGTGGGTCTATTTCGCTTTCCCTCGAGGCTGATGATCCGGAACATCCTTCCATGTGCCTGTTTGTCATCGGTGTGTCCTTTTTGGTGAAATGTCTCATGTCTGTTTCCCATTTTCTAACTGGGTGGTTTTGGTTTTTGTCCTTTACTGTTTGAAGAGTTCTTTATATACTTCAGATGCTAGTCCCTTGTCAGATATTTGGTTTGAAAATACTTCCTTTCAGCCCGTTGCTCGTCTTCTTATCCTCTTAGTGGAGTTTCTCACAGAGCAAAGTCTTTAGTTTTGATGAAGTTCAATTTATCAGTTTTTCCTTTTAAGGATCATACTAAACAATCCTTATAATCTTAAACCCTAAATCTTACAGTCCTAAATCCTAGATCCCAAATATATTCCCCTAAGGTTTTTTCCCTAAAAGTTTATAGTTTTACATTTAAGTCCATGACCCATTTTGAATGATTTTTGTATAAGGTGCGAGAATTAGGTCATGGTTTATTTTGTTTACTCTCTGCATGTCCAGTGGCTCTGCCGTTTGTGAAAAGGCTGTCTTTCCTCCGCTGGATGCCCTTTCACTTCTGTCAAAGAACAGTTGGGCGTATTTGTTTGGGTCTATTTCTGGGTCTGGATTCTGTCCCTCTGTCCACACCCCACGGTCCTGGTCGCTGTAGCTGTATGATAAGCCTTGAAATCAGGTGAGCGAATGAATTCCTCCTTTATTCTTTTTCAAAATAGTTTCAGCTATTCTAGTTCCTCTGCCTTTCCATGTAAGTTTTAAAATAATCTTGTCTATACCTACAAAAACTTTTGCTGGGGTTTTGATAGGAACTGTGTTAAACGATATTCGGGAGAATCAGCATCTTGACTGTGTTGACTCTTCAGCCAATGAACACAGTGTGTCTCACCATTTATTTAGATTTTCTCAGATTTCTTTCCTCGATGTGGTGTGGGTTCAGCCTGCCGGTTCAGTACACGTTTTGTTTGGTTTACACTTAGGTGTTTCATTTTTTTAAGCAATTGTAAATGGTATTGTATTTTTAGTTATGGTGTCCATGTGTTCGTTGCTATATATAGAAATACAGTTCGTTTTTGTATGTTTATCTTGTCTACTGAAACCTTGCTGAACCCATTTATTCTAGGAGTAGTTTTTTGGTGTCTGGGATTTCCTACAAAGACGATCAGGTCGTGTGCAAATGGACAGCTCAAGTTCTTCCTTTTTGATCTGTATGTCATTTGTTTCCTAATATTTTTAATGATTTTTTGCCTTATTGCACTGGCTCAGGCATCCACCGCTTGAGGGACAGTAGTGAGAGTGGACATCCTTGCCTTGTTCCCTGTCTCGGAGGAAAGCGTTGTTTTCACCAATCATACCTGCAGTCTTGGCTGTAGGGCTGTTGTAGATACTCTTCACCAAACCGAGGAAGCTTCCCTTTAGTCCTCTTTGTCTGAGAGGAGGTCTGGGTTTGCCCTCCGTCCTTCCTGGCTTCGGTGGTGTCTTGTGTTCTTTCCTTCAGCCGTGGCTGTCCTGACGCGGGGCCGGGTCTCTCGCCCCCTCCTCTGTTCCAGGTCAAGGCTGCCTTGGATGGGTTGGCCCAGAAGATAGCGACCTTCACCGACGTGGGCAACAGCCTGGCGCACGTGCAGCACCTCCTGAAGGATCTCGCCGGCTTCGAAGAGAAGTCCAGTGTGAGGACGGGGACGGGGACTGGTGTGGGCGGGGGTCACCTGGTGAGGCCGCTCTCGCGGCATCACCAATGTTGCTTAGGAAGGTTCCAGAATCGGGCCGTCCTGCCATCCAAGCAGAGGCCCCCAGCCCTGAGTGACATCCACAGGTGGAGGGACGGCTGCCTGGTCCACCCCCACCCATCCCCTCCCACCCTGACCCCTCCTTCACCCCCACCGCCTCCCCCAGCTCCAGATCCCCTGCGGGAATAGCGCCCACTTATGTGTGAGAGGCGTGAGCTGAGCTGCGTGTCTGGGTGGCTCTCCCGCAGGCAGCCGTGGAGCGGGCCCGCACCCTGTCCCTGGAGGGCGAGCGGCTCATCGACAACAAGCACTACGCGGTGGACTCCATACGCCCCAAGTGCCACGAGCTCCGGCACCTCTGCGACCAGTTTGCGGCCGAGGTCAGGCGCCGGAGGGGGCTGCTGGGCAAGTCGCTGGAGCTGCACGGCCTCCTGGAGGCGGTAGGCCCCCAACCCCACGCCCCACGGGCAGACCCGACTCTTGGTCCCTGGGGCCAGCTCGCCGTGTGGGTGGACCTCAGTCACTGACTGGAGACTGACCTATGCCCTCCGTCTGAACGCCTCTCTTGTGGCCCAGACGGTCACACCGACGCAGTTGTCTGTTTTCTAGAATTCACCTGCCACCACTCATGACTTCTTTAAAAGGCCAGGAACTCACCATCTAGCTAACCCCTGCACCCTGCCCCTCTCTGTGAATGAGTCCAGTCGGGCGATGTGCTGGGCACTGCGTTTTCGGCACTGCGTTCCCTCCAGAGGGGTCCTCTGGACGTAGCTCAGAACTGGGCTGACGCTGCTGCAGAGATTCCCAAAGAGCAGCGGTCAGCAGACCGGGCGGGAGACAGCCAGTAGGCCCCAGCAGAGCCGCGAGACGCCCGGAGAGCGTCTGACAGCGCCGCTCTCTCCCTCTCTACGTTCCACGTGTCCAGTCCATGAAGTGGTGTGATGAAGGGATCTACCTGCTGGCCTCGCAGCCTGTGGACAAGTGCCAATCCCAGGACGGCGCTGAGGCTGCCCTCCAGGAGATCGAGAAGTTTTTGGAGAGCGGTGCAGAAAATAAGATCCAGGAGCTCCATAAAATTTACCAGGACTATGAACTCATCCTCACCCAAGACCTGATGGTAAGCCAACTCGGGCTTCCCCCTTGCAGCTCACCTGTCCTGGACGGTGGGGAGTTACTCGGATGATGTTCGCAAGAATCCTTTAATGAATTTGTAGAGGATCTGGGTGTTGGAGAGAGATGTCGAGCAGGAGGTCATCTGGCTCAGCTTCCCTTTCAATACAGAAATTATTTCCAGGCCTCCCTCGCAAGGTGGTCTTCCCGCCCCCTCGGGGTCACTCCCTGGGAGGTGCGGATTCCTGGTGAAGTAGCCGTGTCCGTGGGCCCTGCTTCCTGCGTGCTCCTCTCCATACTGCACCAAAACTAGACTCCACCCAGCTCCCGGCTCCTAGCCAGCCGTCCTGATCCTTCCACCAGGGACCCACAAGTATATTGTCCTTCCAGCGGCACCCTTCAGATGCCCAGAGAGGGCCGCACATCCCTCCCTCCCAGCTGACTTTCCTCTAGGCCTGGTCCCTCATTCCGTAGGTGTGGTTCCCACCCTCCCGTCCACAGTGAGTGGGGCGGGGACAGGATTGCTGCACTGGAGATGGTGCCACGTCAGGAGCACACACATCTGAGGTTGTGCGTGCCGAGGCCAAGCGCACGCGTGGTGGTTCTGTTCTCAAACTGCGGACTCTGACGCTTACAAGGCGTCTGGCTAACTAGTCTTTCATACCCTGTCACTTCAGGAACACGTGCAGAAGGTCTTCCAGAAGCAAGAGAGCATGGAAGAGATGTTTCACCGGAGACAGGCGAGCCTGAAGAAGCTGGCAGCCAAGCAGATGCGGCCCGTGCAGCCGGTGGCCCCCCGGCCAGAGGCGCTCACGAAATCACCCTGTCCTTCCCCAGGTATGTGCAGACACCCCAAGTCCCTTCAGGGACCACCCTCCTTCCATTCCACTGGGGCCCGCATCCGGGGGCCATCACCCATTTTGTAAATAAAGTTTTATTGGCACTCGGCCCCCCATTCATTTACTCTTGTCTGTGCTGCGCTGGCAGAGTGAATGCAGTAAAGAGCATGTGGTCCGAGGCACTGGAATATGGACTATGTTGGGGGACTTTCCAGGGCCTGTTTTCCCCGACTCCTGAGGACTAGCTGTCCCCAGTCTGTCGCCAGAATAGTTTTCCTCACATCAGCTGCGATCTTGGCCCAGAGCCTCCCTGAGCCCTAAAGAGCCACGTGCCAATGCCCCTGCCCGCCCGCTGGGCACCGTGGTCAGCCTCGGCCCCACATTGACTCCCTGGCGGGTGCAGCCCTTCTCTAAGGCCGAGCCAACCTTGAGCCAGTTCCCAGACACTCCCTCCTGTCACCTCCCTGTCCCCAAACGCACTTGGTCCCCGTGGCTGGGACAGTTCCTGCTATTTTCCTTGGGGAAATTTCACTTTCCAATGTCACTGTCAGAGCCCTGCAGAGCCAGCTCCCACCCCAGCGTGTGCGGTCTGATGAGACCTTATTCTCTGGCCCCTTCGGAGACTGCCTGGACTGGAGGGTCCTGGAGCTGGAGCCCCCCTGGGATGTGAGCTGACTGCCGGCGGGCTAGCCCTGGCCCCTCGTCCCCCAACTCGTCTAGTCTGCTGACCCTATTTTCCTTCGTCTTTATTTTTACTGGGCTTCTTCCCCCTTCTCTGGCCTGCTTGCTTTTTCCCTCTGAAAGTTAAAAAAAAAATACTGGACACTCCTGGATGCGCTCCTTCCCTCTCCAGGCAGTGCGGGGGGAAGTTACACCCGCCCTTTTCCACTTCTTTCCGAACCAGGCATCCGGAGAGGTTCAGAGAACAGTGAGGGCAGTGCGCTGCGGAGAGGGCCCTACAGGAGGGCCAAGGTGAGGCCCCCGCCCCTGCACCGCCCGAAGCCCGCCCCTCCCTGTCACCTCACCCAGCCGGGCCAGCACGCCATGCCTCGGAGGGCGTCGGTCCTGCTCCCCTGCGCCTGGCTCCCTCCTGGTCTGCGAGGCCTCGGGGAAAGGAGACTGGGCTCCAGAGCCTACGTCAAGATGGGCGGGGCGCCTGCTCATGTCTGAAAGCTCAATGCATGACTTCGTGCTCTTCTCTCCCCAGAGTGAAATGAGCGAGGGCCGGCAGGGCCGGGGCAGCTCCACGGGGGACGAGGAGGAGAGCCTGGCCATCTTGCGAAGGTGGGTGGGCGGCCTTCCCAGGCTCCGCTGAGGGGCTCTGGTCCAGATCTGACAAGTGTGGTCCCCCCAGATCTCAGCCTTGGGCCAGGAGAGTCTGATATAAACGAGCCAGGGCTGGTAGGACATGCTGGCTTCTACCCCAGAGCCGCAAGGTGGGAGCAAAGCTGGCATCACATGGTCCATGCCCGTGCATGCCTCGTGCGTGTACGGAGGTGGAACACACGTGTTCATTTGGCGTGTCCACACCTGAAACGAAGAGGAATTGAGGTTTTCCTTAGAAAAGCCACATTTGCTCCTGGATCCTCGGGGGGGACTTTGGCAATTTGAAATGGCTCATGTTCTCCCTTCCCCGAAGCCCCAGGTGAGGAGACTAGTGTGGTTCCACCCCGTCCAGGCCCTTGGCTGCACATGCAGGTCAGCAGCATAACCGCCCCAGACGTCTCCTCGGTGGACTTTGTCCCCCCCACCGCCCAGGAGCCTTTCCGGGCCCTCTCAGCTCCACGCACTGAGCAATGCTTCTCTTTCTTAATCTGTCCCCTCCTGCTCGTCACACACACACACATACACTCACACTCACACACACACTCACACGCACACACCCGGCTGAGGCCCTTCTTCTTGCACACCTGGACTGTTTCCATGGTACCTGCGTGGGGCCTGTGCCCTCCACCCCTCCCAAGAGTGCCTGGGATTGTGCCCTCACAGAAGTGCTGATGAGATCTGACCTCTAGACTGACAGAGATGGCCCTTCCAACGTCTTTCCCAGGGGTGGAGGTCACTTCCCCATGGAGCCCCTGCCTTCCAGCTGAGCTGCCCTGTTCACCATCCCACAAGGCAGCTGCGCTGGCCACCTTCCTGCGTCTATGCACTCTGAGATCAGCACTCAGAGAGCCTCCTGCTGCAGCCCTCAACAGCCAGCTCAGTGCCCACCCGGGGACCCTCCCCTCCGTGATACCCTGTGCTCTGTGCTCCCAGACAGGAGCACCGACCTCCAGCTTGTGGTGGTGAGAGGGAGGCCCCGAGGCCCCTCTGCCCCCACCGCCCTGTTTAGGAGCACAGGCTCTGAACCGCAGACCTAAGGCTTTGTTAGGCGCTGACAGCGGGTTTAGAACTGACGATGCTCCGTGGTTGCAGACCAGGAGCACCCCCTTGGCTCCGTTTTCTGTGGATTAAGGTGGGGAGCTTGGTTGTAGGTGGTTAAAAGGTGGTCCTCGTCCATAAAACGAGAGCTGACCATCGGTTTGCAAGCCCATGCCCCTTCTGGGTGTCCGCACCATGTCAGGCACGTAGTAGTTCCCCAGATCATCGCTGCATGATGTGCGCATGCGCAGGAGGGGCTCCTCCGGGGAGGAGGCGGGCAGCCTGGGAGGGCGGGAAGACCTGGAGATGTGACCTGAAGAGAGGGAGGCTGGAACGTGCTTGAGGGACCGAGGTCATTTTGTGCAGGTGGCCCCAAAGCCCAGAGCTGGGCCCGGGCCTCTGCTCCTGGATAACAGTCCGCGCCCCATCCGCAGGCACGTGATGAACGAGCTCCTGGACACGGAGCGGGTCTACGTGGAGGAGCTGCTGTGTGTCTTGGAGGTGAGCCTGCGCTTGGGGGCGCCGGGGTGCCCCGCGCTGGGAAATCGGGGGTGGGGGGGCGGTCCCCACCCCATGTGGTCCTGTGTCCACCGAAAAGCACAGCTTTACTCATAACAGCCCAAACTGGACGCAACTCAAGTGTCGGTCAGCAGGACGAGGCACAGTAGGTTTGGGTGGACTTGCACGGGGCCAGCGTTTACAGCAGGAGAAAGACCTGCTGGTGCTGCCCGCGACCACGGGTGACCCTCAGGACACAATGACGAGTGCAGTTCCCTGTGTAGGAGACCACGCCGTCGTGATGGGGAGGTCACAGTGCAGCCGCCTGCCTGCTGGGTTGTTCAGTGGGGCTTCTGGGTGCTGAAACGTTCTGTGTCTTGATATGGGCTGGGGCTAGAGGGCTGTGGACACATAAATAATTCATCAAAGTGTGCACATAAGATTTGTCCCCTCACAGAAGTACCTGAAATTAAAAAGGTTAAAAGGGAGAGGGATGGAACCTCCCCCACCACCAAACACTTGTGCTGTTTGTAATTCACTCACATTTTGTGGTGCTTGTCCAGATGATCCTAGAAATGGCCAGTGAGTAAATAGGAGGTGGTTTGCTTTCTAAAACCTGAGACAGTGTCCCCTACCCCCCTGGGCAGTGGCCACTTGTCTGTCAGCTGCAGGTCAGGGTTCCCCTCCTGACCTCTTCCCCCTTCCGCAGGGCTACGCTGCCGAGATGGATAACCCGTTAATGACGCATCTCATCTCAACAGGCCTTCAAAACAAGAAGGATGTTCTATTTGGAAACATGGAAGAAATTTACCACTTTCATAACAGGTTGGGCCCTTCCTCCGGTCATACACGTGCTTGGCCGTGTCTCGCCTCTAGAGCAGCCACCTTCCGGGAGCTGAAACCCAAACGGCCCCTGGGCTGTGCTTTGCTGGTGGAGAATTTCCCTTCCTCCCCCTCTGGAGGATAAGCTCACACAGCCTGAGCAGTGGCTCAGGTCGGGGGAATGGGATATGCCCAGGGCAGTTCTGAGCCAGGTGAGTGGGTTACAAATGGACCACCCGTCTCCTGGTGGCATATCCTGGGAGATGCCTCTGCGCTCTGTCCACAGCACGAGGAAGTAGGAGCCGCCGCCCCCTCTGGCCTTCTCCCTGTCCTGCTGGGCCAGGAGAAGCTGGTCCCCCAGTGTGTGCATTTGGCACTTTGGGGCGGCACCGAAGGCCACACCACTTAGCAGGGCCCGTTTTGTTCCCAAGCCTGTTCTGGAAAAAGACTACACTGGAAGTTCCTTTCCCCCTGTTCTCCCTTCGTGAGAGTGCTCTGTGGCCTCTTCGTGGCTTTGAGGAAAGTGTGGACGGTCCTTCTGGGGCTGCTCACCCTTGGCTCCTCATCCCAATTTGCGGGAGCTGGAGGGAAGGGAGGTGAGCAGGGAGACGTGGAGTGCAAATGGAAGCAGTCAGACAGACAGACGGCAGTGCCTTTGTGTCCTGAAAACAGCAGCTGTGAGCGAACCCTCCCCCTCCCCTGCAGTGCAGCCCGCGGCCAGGACTCAGGCCCCACCCTCCTCTGGTCCTCAGGGGGCACTTGGGACTTCTGTCTGACCATGCGCATGCTTTAGTCCCTCTGTCATTAGCAAGTCCCACCCGCCCTTTTATGCAGGAGACACCAGGTCTGCAGCTGGACGCTGCCCGGGAGCCTTCTCTTGGGAATTAAGATGAGCAGGTGGCTCGGTCCCTCAGCATCCTCGGCTCCAGCCTGGGGTCTTGGCCAGTCCTCTGGTGCTGGGCCCCGGTGTCTCTACGCTACAGTGCTGGTGTCCTGACCTGATCCCCAGGGAGCTTCCCCTCCTGATGGGATTTACCCAGATGGAAACAAACATAGAGGAAAACTCGGCTCAGGGCCCAGAGGCAGAGCTGCGTGGGCGAGGGTCCCAAGGCAGAGCCAAGAGCCCCGTTACACTGGGCACACGGGTGTGGGGGCTGGACTTTCAGAGCCTCGAGATGCTTCCATCTGTCTGCCTACGGCCTCTTCGTCCCACGTCTGTGCTGATAAAAAAGGAGCTCTCCTAACCTCTGCGTGAACACCAACACCAGAAACATGGAGGGACCCACAAGGGGGCCACGTCTGCTCGACCCTGAGAGTTTGGTGCAGGCAGGACCCCGGGAGCCGCAGGTGTGGGCTGCAGGTTCCCACGTCAGATGGCGCGTTCTTGCACACAGAACCTCCCACACTGTCCAGAGTTAGGATTGAAAGTGGTCTGGAAAATGATATCTGTTAATTTGTTACAAATGTCGTCTTATTCTGGTTGTTTATTGTATGACCTAATGCAAGCTTTCTTTGTCTAGAATATTCCTGAGGGAGCTAGAAAATTACATAGACTGCCCAGAGCTGGTTGGAAGGTGTTTTCTGGAAAGGGTATGTATTTCTTTAAATACGTACTTTGCCGTGCCTTACTCCTTAAAGTTACTACTTGAAATAATAGTGACTTTAAGTTCTATTGCCCTCCCCTTCTAACTAACCGAAGTTACAAAGTACATGTGTTTCCAGTTTGGCTGAGATGACGGGATACTTTGTAGTAGGGCCAAAAGAAGGCGATTTTTTCTAAAGCCCAATAACTAGTTCAAAAGAGAGAAAAACTGTAAAACGTAAGCTTTGAGAAATGCCGGAACTGTGAAGCCTCTAAGTTTTGGTGTTGGCTGAAGCTGAGCTCTTCGTGCTGGGGTTTTGTTCTGTGTTGGTCCTGCCCTGGTTCAGACCCTCGCTCACCAGCCGATGTTGGATGAGTCATTCGGGCGCTCTGAGCCTTACTTTTTTTTCCTCTTGGAAATAGTAGACGTCTGCCTCCTTCCGGGGCAGGACGGTCAGCTGAGGTGGGGGTCTGTGGAGAAGTTCTCGAGCAGGAAGGGGCTGCCGGGATGCACGTGGCCGCTGTCTTCTCCGCACGGGCCCCAGCACGCTGTTACGCTGATCTCCATGCGCTGCTCGTTTAGCAGTAGGGAAGATGCAGCTTCCTAACAGCAATGAGACTAGGTCATAAGCTGGAGGCTGAGACTTGTTCTAATGAACTGGTGTCAAGAGGCAGAAGGGAGGAAAAGAGGAGCGATGTTTGTTTCCAGTCGGCCTGGCCGTTGGCAGCGCGTCTTGGTGCTGTTTGAGATCTGGGGTAGGGCCGTCTGCTGTAGGTCAGTGGTTCTCCAAGCAGGGCCTTGGCCAGCAGTGTCAGCATCCTGGGATCTCTCTAGAAAGGCAGGTTCCCGGGTCCGCCCCGGACCTGCCGGATCAGAACCTCCAGGGGTTCCGTAACAAGGCTGCGGGTGATTCTGATGTGTGGGCAAGTTTGAGCACTGTGTGGGCTGGGCTCTGGAGACTCTTTGGGAAGTCTGTGTTGGCCCTGCGTTCATTTTTGGTCCGTTGGTCCTGTGGCAAAAGCCAGCTCTCCTGAGCTAATGTGATGAAAGGGGTGTCTGGACTAAGGCAGCCCTGAGAAGTGAGCTTGTGGTGGGGCCGTACCTGGCTGCCCACTGTGAGGGGCTGCGTCTGAGATGGAGGGGGTGAACCGGGACTGGCCCCGCAGGGCAGGGGGATCTAGGGCAGGTGCCGAGCGTCCTTGATTCCCGTCCGCGTTGCTCCACGTGTAGTCGGGGTATGAGTGGGAGGCTGACGCTGGCCCAGCTTTGTCAGCAGCCAGACTGAGATGCAGGGCAGTCAAGAAGCGAGAGGCGTCCCTGCACCGCTGCTCTGCTCTCACATCCACCTCGTGGCCGACAGCCGTGGGCCAGCTCAGGTTGATGAAGGCCCCTGCGGTCGTCTGTGTCCCTGGGCCGTCCTCGGGCAGTTGCATCTCACACACAGAGCTCAGGTCGTATTTGGAGAAATAACCTGTGTAATTTGCAAAACTGCCACAGAAGACCCTGGAAGTCCCACTTGAAAAACCAGCCTGTAACACGCCTTTGAGAGTGCGTGTGGTGGAAGCCCCTGACCCCCGCACACCTTGCGCTGTGAGGGTCTGAGGACCCGGGATCCCCATCGCGAGCAGCAGGGCCCGTCCGGAGGGTGTGACTCGGGAGTGGCACCAGCCCCTCCGTGTGCTGAGAGGGCTGTCGCTGGGGAGGCGCTCTGTGACGCGTCTTTGTCCCCGGACAGATGGAGGAGTTCCAGATCTACGAGAAGTACTGTCAGAACAAGCCCCGCTCCGAGAGCCTGTGGAGACAGTGTTCCGACTGCCCCTTCTTCCAGGTGTGTTTCGGGACCCTCCCTAGAGCAGCGTTTCCTTGAGCAGTTGGCTCTCAGAGGACAGTGAGCGCGGTCTAAACCAGAGGTTTTGCTGGGTGCAGGACTGCCAGAGGAAGCTGGACCACAAGCTGAGTCTGGACTCCTACCTGCTGAAACCGGTCCAGAGAATCACCAAGTACCAGCTGCTGCTCAAGGTGCGGCTGAGCAGAGCCTTGCTCCCGGCCCGGCTGCCCTGCGGCTGCCCTCACAGCTGCCATCCTCTCCCAGCGGCGCCCCCGCCTCTCTGCGTCGGCGGCTGCCCCAGCCCTCCCTGAGCCCCGCGGCCTCTGAGCTGCCTTCTTCCCATCTCTGTGAGGGTCCTGGCTCTTCACAGACCTTTGTGGAGGGCCTGCCGTGTGCTGGCCGTGGTCGGGGGGCCGGGGACACAGCAGTGAACAGACAAACCCTGCCCCCTGAGGGGATCTCCACACACACTGGGCTGTGCCCCACACGCTGTCTTCCCGGCAAGGCCCGGCCTCTGTCCAGTTGTCTTTGCGGGCCCGGCAGAGGCAGCTCCCCAAGGCCCGAGTGAGCGAGTGAACGGACATGGAGCGTGTGCCCTTAACAATCAGATGTTTATTGGGGGGTCAAATTTGAAAGGAAAGAGTAGCAGATTTAGAAGTGGGGAGACATGAGCTGCAAGAGGGGTGCTCACCCTGGGGAGGCCCTGAACATCCCTGATCTACAGGTGTCTGTCTGGGCTGTGGGTGGGTGGGGTACAGGGCTACACGGCAGTGGGAGGGCCAGTGGCCCCTGGGCAGGCCTGCCGCCTGTCCACGTGCGTGTGTGGTGTGGCGACTGTGCAGGGAGCCACACGGTGTCTCTGAGGATCCGTGTTGGGGCCACCTGGGGCCTGCACTTCTGGGACAGAGCATGGGTTTCCAGCAGCTCTCGAGGGAGTGGGGGGTCCAGTGTCCAGATGAGTGTGTGAGCGGGTCCTGGTCCCCCTCCCCAGGAAATGCTGAAATACAGCAAGAGCTGTGCAGGGGCCGAGGACCTGCAGGAGGCGCTGAGCTCCATCCTGGGCATCCTCAAGGCGGTGAACGACTCCATGCACCTCATCGCCATCACGGGCTATGACGTAAGGGCTGCTGGGGCTGACGGGTGGGTTGAGGCTGTCCCGTCGCTGGTGCGGAGCTGTGCATGGGAGCTTCCATGCACATGCGTGTCGCCTGCATCCGGTCCAGCTCCGTCTGACTCGGGGTCTGGGTGGGCCGGAGACCCCTCGGGGGCCTCAGCGCAGGTGCAGCTCTGGAAGCCTCTCCACTCCTGCCCTTTCCTGAGGTTGGCATTGCTTGGGAGCCGGCGTGAATGTTTTCTCTGATGCCACTTGTGGGCTGGTGACATGTAACAACAGGGCAAAAAAGCCTGATTTCTGCTTTCCCTCTGTGTGTCCATATGGGGTCAACTTATTAATTCTTTTTACTTCTCTACAAGTCCATTCAGCACTCACTCTGTTTCTTTTAATTAATAGGCTTTATTTTTAGAGCAGTTTTAGGTACAGAGCAAAATGGCGGGGAAGTAGGATTTCCCATATACCTCCTCCCCCCACAGACTCCCCCACTGTCAGCATCCCACCAGAAGGTACATTTGTCACATCTGAGGAATCTCCATTGACACATCACCGTCACCCAGAATCCACAGTGTACGTCGGGGCTCACTCTGTGTTGGACGTTCTGTGGGTTTGGACAAACGTATAATGACGTGTATCCGTCATTACAGTATGTTACAGAGTGGTCTCACTGCCCTGAGAATCCTCCATGCTCTGCCTGTTCATCCCTCCCTCCTTCCCAACCCCTGGAAACGACTGATCCTTTACTGTCTCCTAGTGTCGCCTTTTTCAGACGTCACACTGTGGAACCTGCAGGATGCAGCCTTCCCAGACGGGCTCCTTTCACTCAGTGACATGCAGGGAAGGCCCCCGTGTTCACTCTGGGTTCTAATGCTCCTCGTGTCCCCATACGTTTCAGGGGAACCTGAGCGACCTGGGGAAGCTGCTGATGCAGGGCTCCTTCAGCGTCTGGACGGACCACAAGAGGGGCCACGCCAAGGTGAAGGACCTGGCCAGGTTCAAGCCCATGCAGCGGCACCTGTTCCTGCACGAGAAGGCCGTGCTCTTCTGCAAGAAGAGGGAGGAGAACGGGGAGGGCTATGAGAAGGCACCGTCCTACAGCTACAAGCAGTCCCTCAACGTGAGTAAGGGTGTCCTACAGCTGGAGGCTGTCCCACAACCTGAGGAAGGGGGTCCCACAGCTACAGGCTGTCCCTCAACGTGAGTAACGGGGGTCCCACACTTAGAGGCTGTCCCTGAACGTGAGTAAAGCGGGTCCAGCAGCTGGGGACCTCCCTGGCGCTGGCCCTGAGGAGGAGAACAGGTGACTTGTTCCAGGCGGTAACTGAGCCTCGGCCGCTATTCCCACCTTCTGGCTCACGCCTCTTTTCTTTGGGTGGGAGTCTGGGAATTTGGGCCTCCTTAGCCCCCAACCCAAAGCAACTTCCATCGTTTTTTGTAGGCACCAACACCTTTAGAGGCGAGGTGGGTGCTCTCATCCTACACACTAACGCCTGTCTCCCATTTGTGCTGTCAGATGGCGGCGGTTGGCATAACTGAGAACGTGAAAGGGGACGCGAGGAAGTTTGAGATCTGGTACAACGCCAGGGAGGAGGTTTACATCATACAGGTAGGTCCCGTTGTTGTCTCTTGAGCCGGGCATTAGGGACTCATCAAGCCTCTTGGGATTGCCAGTGAAAGGCTCCTATTGAGAGCAGGCGTCTAGAATCTTCCATGAAGCTTGATCACCCGGAGGCCAGGAGCACCACTGTTCATTTGGGATCGCTGCCCTGGGCCGTCTTTAACCAGAGTTGGACCCAGGGTGACATGCAGTGAGCCTGCAAGTCAGGGGTGCTCAAGGCACACTGGGGGGAAGGTGGCTCAGGCTCCCGTCGCCCCGGCCCCTGTGCCATGCTTACACACGTGACCGGGTCTCCTGGGGGGGTGTGTTCCAGGCCTCACACATCCCACCGCGCTGGCGGGGCAGGAGGTGGGTGGAGCTGTAAGTGCATCCGTGAGCGGTGCACGGCCCCAGGTGCCCTGTGAGGGGTCGGCCAGCATAGGGGCTGTGGCTGTCCTGGTTGTGCTTCAGCATTCTGACACATGCAGAACGTTGGGCCCAGGGCGACGCGGCTGCCCTGCAGGGACGCGGAGACCACGGCAGCGTGGAGGCCCCGGCACACTGCACTTAGTTGTCCACAACTCACGGCCCCCACGCCAGCAGGGCCAGGCCCACAGGCCCCACGGAGCCAAGGCGAGGACGTGGGCCCCACTCGGGCACTGGCTCGGCCACCAGACCCCTGGGAACTGCAGGACGCTGGCGGACCTGGCTTTCCGCAGGCTCAGCGTCTTCAGAGCCCTGCTGCCCTCAGGCCCAGGCATTGACTGAGGCAGGTCAGCAGCCCTGGCGGTAGTTCACCCTCCTGGTCGTCTGCCTCACCCTGGAAGCTTAGAGCCTGCTTTCGGGATTTCAGACTCCCGTCATCCTTGTGACTAAAACGCCGTCAGGGCCACGTCCCTGGGAGACTTACTCCTGGGGGCAGTTTATGCCACAGGGTTTCCCAGTGAGTCAGGCGTCAGCGCTTTGCAAGGGAATTGGCCTGTGGTCAGCCTGCGGCTGTGTTGCAGGGCCCTAAGTGCCAGCCACCGCACGGGCCCTTCCATCATGCCCTTGCCGTGGGGGCGCCCTGAAGCAAGGGGACCTGTGGCGGTTCAGCCCCTCTCCTTTCTCACGTGCGCTGCTCTCATGTGGATTCCTGGGACTGTCCTTGGAAGTTCCAGGCATGAAGCACCCAAGCCTGTGTCTCCAGGGAGCCGAGGTGCTCACCTGGCGTTTCTTTTGGGGGGTAGGCGCCAACTCCTGAAATTAAAGCAGCGTGGGTGAACGAAATTCGGAAATTGCTGACCAGCCAGCTGCAGGCTTTCAGAGGTAAGAATGTCTTTGGCCGTGACTGTCTCTCGGCTTTTGCTCCGGGGATGTGGTCACATATGTTCAGAGCAGCCTCCCAGCTCTGAACGGTCGGCCGCAGTGTTGGGCGGTGCAGGTGCTCAGTTCAGGGGCTTCACCACGCTGGCTCTTGTTTGTCTCCCTCCTCGCAGAAGCCAGCCAGCACCGGGCGCTGGAGCAGTCCCAGAGCCTGCCTCTGCCCGCGGCGTCCAGCATCAGGTGAGGAGGCGCCCGCTGAGACCCTACCATGGCAGGAGGACTGACGGGGGGTTTGCACGGCCGCGAGCCTCCTGGGCCTGCCTCCTGACTCTCCCGGTGTTCGGGGCGACTTGGAGCTTGCCCACAGCCCCGGAGTGCTCGCCCTCTGGGATTGCATGGGGTGGGTCAGGCCCAGTGGGTCGGCTCCAAGGATGAGTGTCTCTGGCCACACGCCCAGGCAGAGACCAGTCCTCACGGCTCTGTTTCCCTTCTGTGGGTTATTTCCCGTTACTGTCCGCGCCTGATGTGTGGCTGCCCCAGAGAGCAGTTGATCGCCAGCATCTCGGTGATGGTAGCGCCTCAGGCAGGGGCCGTAGTGCAGAGGCTCAGGGCCCGAGGCCCCCCTCACAGGCACGCGGTCCAGACACTGGCCTGCACACTGGCTTCAGTGCCCTTGTTTTTCTTTGTTATTCTACTGATTCCGTCGATTTTTTTACTTTATTGCTCTTGTTTGCTATATAAGCCACGTGTAATCGTTCATGGAACAGGATGTGGTCTTAATAAATAATCCACAGAACAGTAGTTTTAAAAGAGTAAGACCCCCCCAAAAAAAAATCCCACCTCGTGCTTAATAGCTAGGCAGGGGTTTTGTTTGCGTTTGGTTCCCTTTGGGCTCAGTCTGGAGGTGCGGGCCTCTGCAGCTGGGACACGCTGCTCTAAGGGCTGGATGGGAATGCAGGATGTCTCGATGCCTCAGGTCCTCAGGGAGGGTTTTGAAAAACTAACCAGACAGCTTATTATTTCTTTTTCGATGTGTCTGATGTCATTAGTCCCATGAAAGGGAACACAAGAAACATCAAAAAGCTGGAAGAAAGAAAAACTGACCCCCTAAGTCTGGAAGGATATGTGAGCTCAGCATCATCGCCAAAGCCCCCGGAAAAGGGCAGAGGTGGGTGTGTGCAGTGAGCGAGCCGGGGCGGAGCCGGGGCCACACGGTGGGTGTCCACTGGCGGGCATGGCGGGATGCACAGCCTCCTGCCGGCACAAGGCAGCCTCTGCAAGAGTCAGGGGTCCCCACCCGCCTTGCGCGGAGCACGGGGAGCACCCACAGGAACCCTCCTCCTCACGGTCCGTGTGCGCCCTGTTCTGAAAACCAGCCCCGGAGATGAGCCCGGCGTGGCCTGGCATGTGCCCTCCCAGAGCTGCCTTGGGTTGCGGATGCCCCGACGCTGCCCCCTCTCTTCCTTCGTAGATGACACGGTCTCTAGCTCTACCTCAGAAAGCTCTGCCCTTTCCAGACAGCGCTTTGCCCTGCAGGGCTTGGCTAACCTCAAAGGTCAGAAAGGTAAAGGGCACGTGTCCCTCGCCCTGGAGGCGTGTCTGTCATCCATTCGTGTGGTGGCCATTTGTGTGGACAGTCTTGGGGGCGTATGCCTCTTGCATCACAGGGGCAGCGGTCAGCGTTTTTCCACTGAATCACCGTCGTACCGACGCTGATGTCTGTCATCCACGTGGCCGGAGCTCTCTTCTCCGGCCTTTTCTTTGGAAGGGGGCGGCAACTTCCCTGAAGGAGCCTTGCCCAGAAATAGGGTTTGTCGCTGCGTTGTGGTCCAACTCCTCCCACTTTTTTGCTTCTTCCTCAGGTCAGGCCCCTGCGGGCTGTAACCTTCCTTCTGCCCGAGGGCTGAAGTGCTGGTGTCACTGCCTTCTAGAGGCCTCTGCTGGTGCGAGGGCGGGTGAAGGGTCCCTTGGGTGGAGATCCTGAGAGCTCAGCCGCCTCTGGGTGCTCCTGGGCCGTAACTACGTGGGGTATGAGGCAGGCCCTGACGTTCCAGGCGGGTCATCACAGGACCCCCTCCAGATGCTAAGAGCCAGTGTCTTCTAGGGTTCTCGTCATTGGTCCAAAGTTGGAGGGTTTTTTCTCAATTTATACAATGCTTTTAAGTTGGCCTCAGACTTTTTACAAAAAAAGGGAGGACAAATTCTGGTACTGTTGGGTTTGCTAAGTATGGAAAGTATGCATGCTACGCATACTTAACGCAGAGCTCAGAAAACGCACTAGACGCGGCCCGTACAATGATCGTACGATTGCCCACCAACCGCACACCGGTCTCCTCTGAGTCCCCTGGGCCTCTGCTTCTCTGTGGGGTCCCTCTGCCGGCTGAGTTTTCTTCCCAGGCAGCTACTTTTTGAATCAGTGGAAATCGCCCATCGGATGCGTGTGTCCCATCCCGGCATGAGCTCAGTGTTCCTCGCGGCTGCCCGGCGCTCTGTGTGCAACTCCTCACTCTCTCTCTCCTGTTCTATTTGTGCCTCTTCCCCCTCCTGCAGCATCTCCCACCAGTCCTGACAAAAAAGCTAAGCGACATGAAGTAAAGAGCGATCCGACGCCTTTTGGTTTACGAGGTAGAGTGGCCCAGCCTTCTGCACGTAGCCTGGCATCCATGTACCCATCAGTTAGGACCCGTCTGTCCTGCCATGACCCGTCATCTAAGATGCACAGGAAATAGGTCTCTACTGGCCAGAGCAATTCGTTGTTTCGTTCAAAAGCGTGATGCTGTGGTGACACACACTGTGAGGATGGCATGCTTCTCAGTCACCTCCTCACGCCAGGTCTGCCCAGAACCTACAGAACTGCCCGCTGGCCACTGGTTAGAGGCTGCCCACCCCTAGCCGGCATTGGGGTTGGGTTGGGCTTTATTACCCGGAGCTGTGTAGACTGCAGGACACCCTGTCCCTGGGCCCCTGCAGCACCGGCCCCTGCCCACTTCACTGGTTTATCCCGACACTTCTCGGTGAACACGCGGAACGTGGCAGCTGCAGGATCCCATCTGACCTGATTTCACGGGGAGTCGACCAGTCCTACAGACAGGCGGGGTCAGGCTTCATATCAGAAGTCGGGCCTTCTCCTGTCTTGCCCCTCACATTCCGAGGATAAAGCCCCCCTTCCCCGAGGAAGCCCAAAGACGCCTCTGCTCAGGTTGAGGGTCTCGAGTTCACAGAGAGGATCTCACTTTGTGAGCCTTCCTGAGTTTTCCAAAAAATTGTGAAGATTCCCACGGGGTGTAGCTGAACCTGCGGCCTCATACCCCGCCCCGCCCAGGCACCACCCAGAGGTCCCCCGCGGCCCACTCTGGCCTCAGACAACACTCTTGCTTTCCCCGGTGTGACGGCTCAGAGGCCACGGCTTGTGACCCTCGCCCACAGCCCTCTCGTGGGCGGTGCCCCCTCTGGTGCTCGGGAGAAGGGTCATCTCCCACTGACTGCCTCACAGGAGGGGCGCTTTTGTCCTTTACACGTTTCCTCCTTACAACCCAGAGATGCCTGAGGTGTGCCCTGGGTAGGAGGCAGGCGTGGGGTCTTGTGAGTGTGGGCTTGAGCCCTGCCCGCTGCAGCTCCAGTGCTGCTCCTCCACCTTCTGGCCAAATTGTGTCACCTGTGCAAGCTCATCTCCTTGTCTGTAAAACAAAGGTGAGGCAACCTTGCAGGGTCGCGGGAGATGTGCGTTAAAGCCCTGAGGGCTGAGCCTGGGGCTCTGCTGCCAGCCTGCTCCTCCTCCTCCTCCTCCTCCTCCTCCCCCCCTCC